AAGCAAACACGCACACATTTCTCATATTAAAATTGCATAAATAGTTTGAGAAAAATAAATTGATAATATAAATTGTTATTTTTTATTTGTTTCACAATCGGATGGCCAGAGTACAAGTCCTGGTACGGCCGACATCCATATCATTATAAAAAAAAAAATTAAGTAAAATTTTCTAATTGCGCCCGGAATGTCAACCCCTCCGAGTGTATTTCTGACATGAAATAAAGCTTCTCATAAAAATCCATTGGCTGTTCGAGGGGCGCTTAGTATAAACTGTTGGTCCCTCCATTTGTTGGAAAAACATTAAGACGCAAAAACCATAAATTGGAGGAGGAGCTCGGCCGAAAATCGCTTCAGCGGTTACAAAGCGCCAACTATATGGAGTGTTTTCCAATAGCCGGTAGATGTCACTTTTGAAGCTTTAATTTTTATGACATTCGACAAGTAAAATCCATTGAAATCAATCAAATTCACTATCAAAATAGTGAAAAGCTGGCAGAGACAGCTTGCAAAACTAAACCATTTTTCGGTCGTCGTGAAGCAACTTGTCGCAATTCAGAAACTGGTGGAAAATATGGACCTAATGGAAGAAGTTAGTGGTGTGATGAATAAAATGACTTGCACTTCGCTCAACAGCAACTGAGAATATTGCTGCTGTAGACCAAAAGGTTGAGGTAAACCCAGGCTTGTTCATCATTCTTCGTCTCTTTTGGAGTCGGGCGTCATTACACCGAATTTTGCATACAGACTTAAGTCTTAAGTTGGCCAATTATCAAAAGGTCGTGTATTTGCTGATTGGATTCTTAAAATGCATCATCGAAAAATCATCTTGACTAATTAGGCACAAGTCCACCTCGATGGCTATGTCAATAAGCAAAACTGTCACATCTGGCGCTCAGAAAACCCAAGATTTTTTTGTTGAAAAACGTCTCCATCATCCGACAGGGTCATTGGACCATACATTTTCGAAAATGAGGCTGGAGCAACAGTTACAGAATGACTAGCGCCATCGAAAGATGGTATTGATCTGGACAACTTTTACTTTCAACAAGATGGCGCTATGTGTCACACAAGCAATAAAGCAACTGATGTTTTAAGAATAAAATTTTCGGACCGTGTTATATTTCGAATCGTATCCCGAATGTATGAAAGCACTCCAGCTTTGAAAGCATTCGATGCAGTACCCGCTGGTGAAAGCAGAGGAAGAGGAAGACCTCCACTCCGTTGGAAGGATCAGATGGAGAGTGACCTGGCTTCACTTAGTATTTCCAACTGGCGCCAGTTAGCGAAAAGAGGAGAGGAACATCGCGATAATATTGATTCGGCTATTATTCGGTAAGCGATGTTAACGTCAAAAAAGAAGAAGAAGAAGAAGTTATCTCTCGAAGAGGTGATTCTGATTGGCCACGGTGAGCTTGTGACTTCGTTCTTTAAGGTCATGTAAAAGATAAGATCCGATCATTTATCTCAAAAAATGGCATTTTTCTCTGAATGTGAAAATAACACCTCTCATTGGAAAACCGTGTACACTTGCATCTCGTTACTAAATTAGTTGTTTTTTTTTTTTTTGCTCAACGAAAGAAAATAAATAAAATTCGAAAATATTAAAAAAAAAATGAGAAAAAATAAATATTGAAAAATTATTCAATTGTCCATCTATCTGTCGTTGCGACAAAACGCGACGCTATGTTAAGTTGATAACATTGCTGCTGTCAGTTTGCAGCTTTTATACAAAAATAACAAGTTGCCGCTTTTGGTTAAACACTTTCCTCTGCTTTTTCATTTATTTACATCACACACACACTCCGCATGCACACACATGTACATACCAGTATATATGTATATGTAGTATATTTATTATCGCTAAATGCTCTGTGACAAATTCTGTGGGGAGAGTCGCTGCAAGTCGCGTTTACTTCGAACAAATGCGTACAACATTTTGCATGTTAATCATTGAAACGACAAATTGCCATTTTAATTAACTCAAATATACAAAAATAGTAAAAGTCCTTAGGAATAATGAATAATCACTTTGCATCTTCGTTATTGGTTTTTTATATTTTTTTTTACAATATTAAAGTGAATTTGTCAATTTCAATGAATATTTTGTTTCACGTGAACATATTTAGTAGCGCAAGGTTTTATTGGAATGTGCAAAATAACTGTATAGCCTTTACACTGTTAGCATTTATCACACATTTTTATATTAAATTTTTTAAATAAAGTTTTTAATTCGATACTCGACTTCCGAGAGAGATATCAATAGCTCATAGCATATATGCAGATCAGAAATAAAAAAAAATAATGACAATATTTACAGGCATAACGCTCATCCCTTTCAACTAAAAATATACCTAAAGTGTAATTTTTTAGCTATTATCTTTTTGGCAACACTGGTTTAAACAGCTGACGCACGTTTCGTAGCAGAATTGTCGATTTTGGAGTGAAGATGAGCCAGAAGCATTGCAAGAGCTACCATTACATCCAGGAAAAGGCACAGTTTTGTGCAGTTTATGAGCTTCTTCAAAGATGATGCGAATGATGAGCGCTACCGTGAGATGATATCAAACTTTTTTTTGTCCAAAATGCAAGAGTTTGACTTACATGACAGTTGATTTCAAAAAGACGGTGCCACATGCCACACAACACGCGTAACAATGGACTTATTGAGAGTAGCGAGTTCCCTAAACATTTTATTTCACGTTCGGGACCAGTCAATTGGTCGCCTGCATCCTGCGATTCAACGCCTTTAGACTATTTTTTATGGGGCTATGTTAAATCGAACGTCTACAACGATTTCGAAGTTTTCTGACATTATAACTTAAAAATTTATGACATTTTATTGTTTTCAGCGTTACATCAGACGTAAAGTGACTCCCGGATTTTTCATTCGGACCAAAATTTGTAAATTCGGCAAATAAAATACCGTCAGATTTTTAAGCTAAGCTTAAACTATTTTTAAGACGATGCTATATTTTAGGACTTTATTTTTTTTACTCCATTGTTTCTTACTTCATAGTTCATATCAGGTGTACAACTTTGTTTCCGCCGTTTTCCGATAGGCGGCTGTACCGGCTGAGGCTGGTTGAAATACATAGATGATAATGGTTTTAAAGTGAGTGTGGACAGTGCCTAACGAATTGTCATCGCCGTTTCAGTGACAGTTGTTCTTGTTTTCGTATTATTCACGCTCGAAAATGTCCGTTTATGTGCCTAATTCACGGCCTTTTCGGGAAGTTTTACTTTTCTGTTACAAATCGAAAAAAATGCAGCTGAAGCGCATCGAATGCTCTCAGAAACTTTCGGTGATGCTGCTCTGAGTGAAAGAACGTGTCGGGAGTGGTTTCAACATTTTAAAAATGGTGATTTCGATGTCGAAAAACAACAAGGTTATGATTTATATTTGGTGGGATCAGCTCGGTGTGATTTACTACGAGCTCTTAAAACCGGGTGAAACCATCACAGGAGATCGCTACCGAACACAATATCAAGAGCGGCATGACAAAGTCATCCTCCAACACGACAATGCTCGGCCTCGCGTCGCAAAAGTGGTCAAAAAGTACCTGGAAACGCTGAAATGGGAAGTCTTGCCCCACCCGCCGTATTCCCCAAATGTCGCCACTTCTGACTTCCACCTATTCCGTCCGATGGCACACGGCCTGGCAGATCAACATTTTCAATCCTTCGAAGAATTGGAAAAATGGATTGCTTCATGGATAGCGGCAAAAGAGGACTCCTTTTTTCGAGCCGGGATCCGAAAATTGCCGAAAAGATGGGAGAAAATTGTCGCTAGCGAAGGACAATACTTTGAATAATATATCTGTAAGCACTTTTTCGCAATAAAGCTTTTAATTTTGGAAAAAAACGGCGGAAGCAAAGTTGTACACCTGATACATTGCTCTTTACCGCCTTTTTTATATTTTTAATTTCAGTTACGCTGAGGTACAGCGCATATCTTCTATAGATACTTAAAACAATTTCCAAAAATCATCGTTTTTTTCTGCTGAGCTTCATAAGTGAGTTTTTGCTTTAAAATAATCACGGAATTATTTATAGATTGGATTTACATTTATATTTTTACTTAAATATTATATTATATTAGGAATAAGGCCAAAATATAAGAGTTTTCCTACAGGAATATACATACATATATATCCATGAATGTATAAAATTTTTTTGAGGTGAAAGTTTTCCTATCAAAACGTGGTATATTTTTAGGCGCTACAATTTGCACAAAACCATGAGAAGCTCCTAAAAAGTCTTTCAATACAAAATATTGGTTTAAAGTTATAAATAAATTTGATTAACACCAATATCTCCCGTAAAGCAAAATGATTGATTAAAGCCAATATTTTCACATATAAATAAAAAAATGCTAGTGATGTATTTTCTAAACTGAAACTTATTTCAGAATTACATCACGTAGTGCAAATTCTTATAAAATTAAGAAAAAAAATACAGAAAGAACGATCACTAACATTTTCTCTAACCAAATATTATTTAGTAAATAATTAAACCAAAGCAAACTGCTCACCAAAAAGCTTAAAGCTGGAGTAGAAAAACGCACCAAGCTTGCCATAATCAAAAATAAACATTTAGCAGCCACTGTAGTGTTCACAACTCGCAAATCTCTCAAAACCAAAAACCAAAATAAAAATCCAAATGCGCAACCTAAATACATTCAATTCAATAGAATTTGTGGGCGTTTATCTCCAGCTGCTGCACTGCCAGCCAGAGCATATGCAGTGGTGGCCACACATGTGCATGCCAATGAATCGTAACTGTGTGTACACAACACCACTGTATTAGTGTGTATCTGTGTGCCTATTTCCAGTGAGACACAGCGAGCGCATATGCACACAAACCCATGCGAGCATTGCGTCGTTGTGCGCTTGTATGCATCAACTCACCACACTTGGTTAACCGCCTCACGCACACACACTACCACAGCAGCAACTGGACTGGAGTCAAATGCGCTGGCTTATGGTTATTAGCTGAGTTTTATTTTCCAGAGCGTTCAGTTGTCTCGAACACCAACAGGTGTTAAAAACGTGTCTGAAAACGTATAGCGGTTTGTGCAAGAATAATACGGTAAACATTCAAGCAATAAATGCATTTATGTATGTATACACACCAAGGTGCTTATATGTATACATATATATAATATGTACATACTTATTTGAATAGCGACAGTGATTATTTTCGAACTAATTCAATAAAACTAAGCTTAGTGAAAAAGTAATAAAGAAATTAAAAACCCTTTTTGCAAAAAAAAAAATTGAAGAAGTGATTCAAATGTGCATAGTACGTGAAAGTTGAGCTAAAGATTTTTTATACATTTTTTTCTGTGACGTTTTTTTATCTCCCAATACTCGTATTTTCACATATTTTTTTCTGTTTTTTTTTTTTTTTTTAACGGTAACAGGTTTTCTGTACCTTAATTTGTGTTTCATTTTTTCCAGCGTAAGCATTTTGGATAAAAAAACAATTAAACATACAAAATATATAAAAGGATATAACTACTTAAGCGCAGAAGCAGCAGAAAACATTTCAAGGTGAGTTACGATTCTAAGAAACATTAAGAATCAGTCTACATTTGTGCGAGTATACTATAATTTGGTGATATAATTGAGTTGAAACTCGTTGATCGAGTACCCAACTGCTTGCGCACATACCACTTACGTGAAATTTTTAATAATATAAAAACACAATAAATAACTACTCATAAAAAATACTAAGTCATAAAATTGCTGTCGTCTTGATCGTCGTTGTCGTGGTCGCCGTAGTAGTTGTTGGTGTCGTCGGTGAGTTGGCTGGCTGGTTGGTTTACTGATTGGAAATTTCGCTGTTGTTGGAGCAGTACAAGGGATGCCATAAGAGAATCAGTTAATAATATAGTGTTAACTCTTTCTGGCAACATGCCAACAATGCCGTAATTTTCCTACCACTTTTTCCAGTACCCGTGTAGTCGTATGACAAATCACTACCACTACAACTGTCATAGCTACAGCCAACAACTGCAACACACTTTTTCAACTCTCTATGAATGCGGCTCTGAATTTTTTTTTTTTTTTTTTAATTTGCTTCCGATTTCCAGCTCTTTTCTTTATTTATTTTTCTTACTTATTTCATTTTTTTTCTCTCCATCAACCACCTTTTCGCTTTTGTCGTCACCGCTACCTTTGATTATCGTCGTTTCGTGCTTTGCCTGCTTGTTTGTTACCGTTTTTTTTCTGTGTTCATGAGCGGTGACTGCTGATCGCCGCCGCTTGAGAAGGCGATATCTCAAAATAGAATTTCCTTACAAACTCGAAAGCTGGCGCTTCCGTCGCAACCGTTGCGCCCACCTTTCCATAAGTCCACCAGTTTATCACATTCAGTTAGACATATACATACATACATATGTATAACCAGTATAATGAATTATGTTTGTCAACAGTATGCCTCGCACTTCTAACTGCATTTTACTCGTATTAGTATGTCCGTAGTATTGGCACTCGTAGAAGTGCTCACTTGGCTCATGTGGGCGAATCACGTTGTAAAGTTTTAAGTCGCAATTTTTTCTGTGATATTCAAAACGTATGAGTTACAATAGTACATGGAATATTATGACTGTTTCTGGAATCTAGTTGACAATGTGTTTTTCGTTATTGGCAGTATTTGTTAAAGGTATTGCCGAAACAAGCAAAAATGAGTCAAATAATTAAGAAAATTAAAAAAATTGATTTATTAAACTTAGTTAAATGAAATAAAATAAAACTAAATAAATGGAAATATCATACACAAAAATAAAACCATTAAATATTAAAAATACAAAAATTAAATGAAATAAAATTAAAATAAAAACTTCTAAATTTAAAAAAAAAAACTATATTAGAATGTATAAAATTTAAGACAAAAGTATAACACAAATTTATGAACAAATAAATCAAAAAAGTTTAATAAATAATTAAATTATATAAAACAAAGAATATATAGAAAAATTCAACAAAACCAAGTTAAATTAAGCAATTAAAAATAAAAAACTTAACTAAACTAACAAAAAAAACTAATAATATAATAAATAGAAGAAAGTAATATAAAATAAAATAACATTAAAAAGGTATAACAATTATGTTGAAAAATCAAATTGAAATAAAACAAAGATTAATACTTAAAAATAAAAAATGAATGCTAAAATATATAAATGAATGCTAATATATATATAAATATGCGAGTATATAAACTAAAAAAAAACAACATTTAATTTAAAATCAAATAAATTTAAAAAAAATTGAATGATAATAAAAAATAAATCAAATAAAAAAATTAATTAAATAAACATAAAAAATTAGTTATAATAAAAAACTTAGAAAATTAAATTAAAATAACAAAATAAAATATATTAAGAAAACTAACAAGTCATTAAATAGATAGTTACATAATATAGATAAGAAAATAAAATAAATAGGTAAAATAATGTAAAATAAAACAACATAAAAAATATTTTTAAATAAAAATGTTAAATAGAATAACATAAAAAGTTAATTATAATAAAAAATATAACAAATTAAAATAAAATAACATAAAATAAAATATAATAAAATAACATAAAAAACATTAAATAAATAATTAAAAAATATAGATAAAACAAAAAAAATATACAGGTAAAATAATGTCTAATAATACAACGTAAAAAATTAATTAAATTAAAAAAATTTAACATATTACAATAAAATAACAAAATAAAATAATTTTAATTAAATAAAATCAAAGAAAACAAAATAATATAAAACAAAATAAAGTAAAATTAAATTATGTTAAAAAATTAAAACCAAATCCAATCAAATTATGAGAAAATAAAATTAATGAAATAAGAATCAAAATAAATTAATATAAAAGAAAAATAAATAAATACATTAAAAAAAATAATAAATATAAACTAAAATACAATGTTGCAAAATAAAAGAAAAGCAAATTAATTAAACATTCCAAAATAGAAAAAGACAAATTTAAAACATTTAGTAATTAATATAAAATTTAAAATAAAATTAAATGAAATAAAGTTTTAGCTAAATTAAAAAAAGGAAAGTAAAACAAAAGAAAATAAAACAAAACTAAGCTGAATAAAAAATGAAATTAAAAATCAAGCAAAATAATTTAATACATTAAATTAAATTAACTAAAAAATAAAGATTAAAAATAAAGTTATTTAAAATAATATCAAAATCTACTAAAATAAAATAATATAAAAGTGAACTAAAATAAAACTTAAACAGAATTAACTTAATTTCACTAGCGTTAAAATAAAGAAATAAAGTAAATTAAAAAAATTAAATTAAACATGTTAAAATAAAAATTAAAAAAGAGAAAAATATTAGAAATAGTAATAAATAAGTTGCATGAAATAAAATTCTATATTGATAATATATAATCGTACATATATTAACATTTGACTAAAGATCACCAATGTTTATTTGAGTTTTAAGGTTATTATACAAGACAAATCTCTTAAATAGAACAATCTTTAAGGCAATACGAAATAACAACGGAAAAACACCATTGAATTCCCCGGAGGAAGATTTATTTTTCTTTATGCCGTGGAATCAACTGCCTATAAACGATAAACTTAAAGATTGAAAAAAAAAAATATTTTTATTCAGAAAATCGTAAACAACTCACAAAGGAACTCCCTAAACACCTATTCAATGCCATCTTATCTTTCTTTGATGTACTTTAATTCTACTGCACATGCCACTTCAGAGGTTCTGATTTATACTAAAAAGAACTATTTAATATTTATATTTTCATAAATTGATGACTTTATTAGGAAGCCTCAGCCAAGAACCATAACTTATTTATTTTATTTTGCTTTTTTATATGTATTTTTTTTTTGTTTCTTTTTTATTTGCTTTTGATATTTGGCATTAAAAATATATTTATAACCAAGACTAGTACTGCAGATTAGCGACAAGATTACGACACGCGTCGGCCATGTAACGGGACATAAAACGATGGAAAATTATTCCGGCGCAAGCGCAAAGTGAAAGGTTAACGGTTTCTTATCAGCAGCAAACGAACAGAAAAATTTAATTTAAAAAGGCTTAAAATATATACATACATATATGCTATAAAAATGTCATGAAAGCAGAAATACTAATACGTATATATATATATATATATATATATATATATATATATGTGTGTGTAGTTTCACATGTGTGTACGTATATTTTCATTTAAAAAATCTCAAAAAAATTAGAAATTCTGATTAATAACATGACTAGACACTACTATCGACAACGACGTAAACAAACAAATTTCATGACTGTGACGCTAGAACTAAAGCAACAAGAAAGCAAAGAGACAACAGCTGCTGGCAAGCGTATGAGTCTTCACAGGAGATATGTATCCCTAATTATACATACAACTATAGTAGAAATGCGAAATAAACCACTAAGAATGGTAAGCAGCAACAACAAATGTCCGACAAGACCCGGTCCTAAATACATACATACTTATACGTATGTATATAAATATCTACCATCACCTTTTTCCTACCTATTGCGCAGTTGGAGTGCTAACAATAATGCTGGGCCTTGAAGAATGAGGATCAACACACATTTTCAAATCAGCCACAGCACTATCTTGTCTCGTTACGGAGGTGTCAAATGAATAAAGTACAGATACGGGTTTTACTCATACATACATACATACACACACTTACACACTAATAAATTTCTCCCCATGCAGCCAGCTCTGTGCATGACCAAAGGAAAAACGCAAAGCAATGCGAAACCAAAGTGAAAAAAAGAAAAAATAGGCAAAAATAAATATTGCAAGCCAAGCAGATTTTACGCAGGCGCACAGTTGCATACGAATGCAATTCACCACACACATACACAAATACACCTATTCAGCGGTGGGTTACACGTATACATATTTGTGTATGTGTTCTGATTGGTAAACGAAAATATGCTGAGCTCGTGCATTCATCACACGCTGTGAGGGATAAGAAAATGTCGACAAAAATGCGATAGCTTAGAACACACCGTTTTAAGTATTCAACTCAGGCAGGGAATGAACGGTTCTTCAAATATTTTTTTATACTATTTACGAGTGCATAGACACGTTGAATGTCGCCGAGTAATACATTTTAGGCTAAAGCCACAAATTCAAATAAAAAAACACATTAAGAAATTAACTGAAAGAAATAAATTTAAATTAATTTTAAATAAAAAAAATATACAAAAAAATTAAATTAAATTAAATAACACAAAATGAAATAAAATTAGATTAGCTTAAATAAAAAAGGCCATATAAAAATTTAATTTCAATTAAATACTAAATATATTTAGATTAACTTAAATTAAATTAATGTAAATAATTTCAATTTTCATAAAATGAAATGGTGTAAATGAAGAAATTACAAAAAATTGAAATAAATTAAATAAAGCAAAAAAAATTAAACTAAATTAGCTTAAATAAAAAATAGCTCATTATAAAAAATTAAATTGTATTTCATTTCTATTTAATATAACTAAATTGCAGAAAATAAAATATGATAAAAAAATAA